TCTCTGTCTCTGTGTCGCTCTCTGTCTGTCTGTCTCTGTCGCTCTCTCTCTGTCGCTCTGTCTCTCTCTGTTTGTCTCTCTCTGTCTGTCTCTGTCGCTCTCTCTGTCTCTGTCTCTTTCTGTTTGTCACTCTCTGTCTGTCTGTTTCTGTCGCTGTCTCTCTCCGTCTCTCTCTGTTTGTCGCTCTCTCTCTGTCTCTCTGTGTCTCTCTGTCTCTCTCTCTCTCTGTCTCTCTCTCTCTGTCTCTCTCTGTCTCCAGAAGAGGAAATCCGCCACAGCTTCACCTCTCCTACCTCGACCCCCCCCCCACCCTCCCCCCACAGCTCCTCTCTGTTTGGCTTCCGCTGGAACCGCCCGGGGGGGGGGGGGGCGTGGGGGGTGACCGCCGCGATGCCGGTTCCTGGTTGGGCCACGGCTTGGGGTGTAGGAAGCTGTCGTAGCGCGGTGGCCTCGTGAACCCAGGGGGCCTCGGGTCGGACTCCGTCTCTCTCGGCGGACGCGACCGTCGAAACGATGGCGGCCCAGTCTGTGTACGTGACTTCGCCGAAAGATCCAAAGAATCTGCTCGTCCCTTCGCACCGCTCCCCTCCGGAATTCCCTCCCCCCGTCATCTTCAACATCGTCCTCGAAATCGTCATCGTCATCGTCATCATCGTCGTCGTCTCGCGACCAAACATCCTGCGCCCAATGCAATCGAAACCAACCCAACTGTCCCCTACCTCCCCAACAAGCGGCACCGCTTTCCAACGGTGCCGCTTGTTGCCGGCCGCTTGGCGTCGCCCCGTTGTAGCCCCCCACCCCCCCCCCCCCCGCATGCCGCTAGGCCGCCCTCGCAAGTGCGGGCAGCAGTTGCGTCGCCTGGGGGGAAAAATTAAAAACCCCCTCCACTCGTAACGAGAGCCGAGCACGTCTTGTTTCGAGTTCGGGGTGGGTGGCGGAGGGGGAGAGCGCCTGAAGGGAGGAGGGGGCGGAGGGATGCGACGAGGAGAGGCGAGACAGGAGAAGATTTTTAATCTATTTTGTAAGACGCCGGCGATGGGTGCCGGAACCTGCGTGGAACTCGCGAGCGGTTTCCTCTTCGAGCCGCTGGTTCAGCGGCCCTGCGGGAGGCCAAGCGGTGGAAGATTCCACATTGCTGTGGCAGGGGCCCCCGAGGCTCTCCGTAGAACGACCGCGGTAGAGACGTAGCCTCGCACCCCGCGCGTCCAGCCCGTCGCACCGCTGTTGAACTTGGGGCTCTTCTCTCGTTGCTCTCGTTACCTCTCCCTTTCTCCTCCTCCTCCTCCCTCTCTCTCCCACACTCTCCAAATATCTCGCTCTCTCTCTGTGCTCCCTCTTTCCTCTCCTCTCTCTCGCTCAGTCTCTCCCACACTCACCAACTCTCTGCTGTTTCTCTCTCTCTCTCTCCCTCTTTCAGTTTATCTCTCCCGACTCCTCTCTATATTTGTATCTCCCTTTTTTTTGTTGTTTACGATCAGAGGAAACAAGAAGACGCTCGGTGTAGTCGGCACTTTGCTTCGTTCATCATTTAGGGGTTTTTTTCCAATGCTTTGCTTTTAAATGAAAGATTTCACAAAATGTTTCACGCTCTCCTCCTTCTTACCCCTTCCCTCTCTCTCTATCCCCCCTCTCTCCGGTAGTGGTGTGCGACTGTGGTCATCCAGAACAGAGCGTGGTACAACGTGTAACGACGCAGCGCCCCTATCCACAAACACGAAGGAGACATCACAGCGATGATGATTACACTTCACGCGCTTGTTCGCACGTGACCACCTGAATGTGAGATTGTGGTCGTTGGCTCTGCATCGACATCAGCAGCCGTACGACAAAAGGAAGACCTCCCTTCCTCCCTCCCTGCCCTCCCCCTCCCTCCCTCCCCTCCCTCCCTCCCTCCCTTCCTCCCCTCCCTCCCTCCCTCCCTCCCCTCCCTCCCTCCCCTCCCTCCCTCCCTCCCTCCCTCCCCTCCCTTCCTCCCTCCCTCCCTCCTTCCCTCCCCTCCCCCCCCTCCCCTCCCCCCCTCCCCTCCCTCCCTCCCTCCCTCCCTCCCCTCCCCCCCCTCCCCTCCCTCCCTCTCTCCCTCCCTCCCCTCCCTCCCTCCCTGCCCTGCCCTCCCTGCCCTCCCTCCCTGCCCTCTCTCCCTCCCTGCCCTCCCTCCCTGCCCTCTCTCCCTCCCTCCCTGCCCTCCCACCCCCCCCCAGTGGCGTGTGGCCGGGGTTAATGTGGCGTGCGGATCTCACTCTTTGTGTTTCCCTGCCCCGGCGCAGACCCCCATCATCGCCAGCCCCCCCCCCCCCACCTTCCATGCTGCGAGCGCCGGGAGTTCGATTACCGGCCCCATTGTGGCTGGACGCACGCTCTTAACCTCGGCACACGCTGCTACCACCACCACCACACCACCACCACTACCACCACCACTACCACCACCACCACTACCACACCACCACCACTACCACCACCACCACCACACCACCACCACTACCACCACCACAACAAGCCACCACCAGCCACCACCGCTACCGCCACTTCCAGAATAAGTCACCACACCACCACCACACCACCACAACAACAAGCCACCACCAGCCACCACCGCTACCACCACTTCCAGAATAAGTCACCACCACCACACCACCACAACAACAAGCCACCACCAGCCACCACCACTACCACCACTTCCAGAATAAGTCACCACTACCACCACACCACCACAACAAGCCACCACCAGCCACCACCGCTACCACCACTTCCAGAATAAGTCACCACCACCATCACCACAACAAGCCACCACTACCACCACCGCTCCCTCTGCGTGTGTATGTGTGGTAGGTGTTATGGGTGCTCTGTGTGGTGAGGGGGGGGGGGTTGGTGGGCCACACTGAGACCCCGTCAGCTCACAGCACATTTGGGAGAAATCCGGCATAAGTCGGCGGGCTGCAGCTGACGCAAGGATCGGAACCAGGGTTGTCTCAGCGGTGCCGACTCCGCATCTCCCGCCGCTCATTCTCTCTCTCCCGCATCCCCCCCCCGTAACGGATTGGTGAAGCTCTCCTCCAAAGGACGCACGGCCGTAGGGTTGAGGAGGAGGAGCAGCAGCAGCGGCAGCGGCTGCGCGATCCGAGCGGAATGCCACCGATCGGAGAGACGGGGGGGGGGGGGGCGAGTGAGACTGGGAGATATTGAGAGTGTGGGAGAGAGCGGGAGTGAGAGAGAGAGTGGGAGAGAGCGGGAGGGAGAGTGAGACTGGGAGACATTGAGAGTGTGAGAGAGAGCGGGAGGGAGTGAGAGAGCGGGAGGGAGTGAGAGTGGGAGGGAGTGGGAGGGAGTGGGAGGGAGTGGGAGAGTGGGAGAGAGTGAAAGAGTGAGAGAGTGGGAGAGAGCGGGAGGGAGTGAGAGAGTGAGAGACATTGAGAGTGGAGAGAGAGCGGGAGGGAGTGAGAGAGTGGGAGAGGGTGTGGGCGCGGGCGAGATCGAAGGAAAGTGAGAGTGAGAGACAGAGAGAGCAGTAGAGAGAGACGGAGAGTGAGTGTGAGAGACAGAGAGTGAGAGTGGTAGAGAGAGACAGAGAGAGACGGAGAGAGAGAGACGGAGAGAGACAGAGAGAGACAGAGAGAGACAGAGAGAGAGACAGAGAGAGCGGTAGAGAGAGCGGTAGAGAGAGACAGAGAGAGAGAGACAGAGAGAGAGCGGTAGAGAGAGACAGAGAGAGAGACAGAGAGAGAGACAGAGAGAGAGAGACGGAGAGAGACGGAGAGAGACGGAGAGAGACAGAGAGAGACAGAGAGAGACAGAGAGAGACAGAGAGAGACAGAGAGAGACAGAGAGAGACAGAGAGAGACAGAGAGAGACAGAGAGAGACAGAGAGAGACAGAGAGAGACAGAGAGAGACAGAGAGAGACAGAGAGAGACAGAGAGAGACAGAGAGAGACAGAGAGAGACAGAGAGAGACAGAGAGAGACAGAGAGAGACAGAGAGAGACAGAGAGAGACAGAGAGAGACAGAGAGAGACAGAGAGAGACAGAGAGAGACAGAGAGAGACAGAGAGAGACAGAGAGAGACAGAGAGAGACAGAGAGAGACAGAGAGAGACAGAGAGAGACAGAGAGAGACAGAGAGAGACAGAGAGAGACAGAGAGAGAGAGAGCGTGAGGCCAGCCCGCGTGTTTGGAGCAACCCGATATCGCGTTCTGCCTAACGACACCTGCTGTTTTCCACGTCGCACGCACCCCCTCTGCGTTCCTTCACGAGAATTCGTTTGTTTCGGTTCACGTTTTTCTCCCTCCCAGCCTCTCTTTTTACCCCCCTCCCCCGCCTCTCCCCTCCCTTCCCCGGTCGTCGATCTGCAGGGTGTCCACCGTAGGTCAGGAATCGTAGGGAAAACACAGCTTTCTGTTATTGGCTCGCGGTCTGGATTACAGTCCGTTGACTTGAACGGCGACCTCTTTCTGACTCCCGATTTCCTACGGGCAGAATTGTCTGGACGCCGTTCTTCCTTGCTCAGAGACGTCTTTGGGCCTCCTGCAGAAACCCAAAACAAAAACAAAAATTGGTTATTTTCCCCTCTGATTCCACACTTATGGGGGGCCACCCTGTAACATCTACAAGCCACCGTGACGACGAGAGAGAGAGACGCAAACCCCAAATATACAGCAGCAGCAGGGGTTGGGATCGAACCCACGACCTCCTGTAGATCAGGCGAGGTAGTTAACATCTCCCTAGCCACCGTGATGATGATGAGAGAGGGATGTAACCCACGACCTCCTGTGTACCAGGCGAGGTTATTAACATCTCCCTAGCCACCGTGATGATGATGAGAGAGGGATAGAACCCACGACCTCCTGTGTACCAGGCGAGGTAGTTAACATCTCCCTAGCCCCACCCCGCGGCACCACAAGGTGGTGTGGACAACACCAATTCTCGTCTGCACCGTCCCATCTCCCCAGTGACGATGTCTACACCGCCCCCCCCCTGCCCCCCCCCCTGCCCCCCCCCCGCCCCCCCCGGCAGGAGCAGCCAGGGCTTCATGCACATGAAGCTGACGCGCACCAAGGAGGGCAAGTACATCCTGGGGCAGAACAGCCCCCCGTTCGACGCCATCCCCGAGGTGATCCACTTCTACACGAGCCGCAAGCTGCCCATCAAGGGGGCGGAGCACATGTCGCTGCTGTACCCGGTGCCCGTGCGGACGCTCTGACCCAACACGAGCGGTGCGCCGCCGTCGCTTACTCGCATTTCTGTCGCCGTCACCGCGGCCGCGTCGGCCGTCGCCGTCTTCCTCCCCGACGGCGGTGCCGCCGGACCTCCGCCGTGGCCGCCGACTCTCAGCGGCGGCGGCCGCCGAACTTCTGTCGCCCGCCGTAGCCGCTGCGGCGGCAGGGCCGCGGCGGGGGGGGCGGCCTCCTCCAGGTCGACGCCCGAGGGGAACCGTGCGACATGCTTCCTCTCGTCGGTGCGCTCGCTGGATTACAAGAGTGTGGGTGGGTGGGTGGGTAGGTGAGTGGGTGGCTAGGTGAGTGGATGGGTGAGTGGGTGGCTAGGTGGGTGGGTGGCTAGTTGAGTGGGTGGCTAGGTGAGTGGATGGGTGAGTGGGTGGCTAGGTGAGTGGATGGGTGAGTGGGTGGCTAGGTGAGTGGGTGGCTAGGTGAGTGGGTGGCTAGGTGAGTGGGTGGCTAGGTGAGTGGATGGGTGAGTGGGTGGCTAGGTGAGTGGGTGAGTGGCTAGGTGAGTGGGTGAGTGAGTGGGTGGCTAGGTGAGTGGGTGGCTAGGTGGGTGGGTGGCTAGGTGAGTGGCTAGGTGAGTGGGTGAGTGGGTGGGTGGCTAGGTGAGTGAGTGAGTGGCTAGGTGAGTGGGTGAGTGGCTAGGTGAGTGGGTGAGTGAGTGGGTGGCTAGGTGGGTGGGTGGGTGGCTAGGTGAGTGGGTGAGTGGGTGGCCAGGTGGGTGGGTGGCTAGGTGAGTGGGTGAGTGGCTAGGTGAGTGGGTGGGTGAGTGGGTGGCTAGGTGAGTGGGTGACTGAGTGGGTGGGTGGGTAGGTGAGTGGGTGAGTGAGTGGGTGGCTAGGTGAGTGAGTGGGTGGCTAGGTGAGTGTGTGGGTGAGTGGCGGGGGGTGGGGGTGGGCACGCCGGCTGCCCCATGCCCCCACTGAGGTCTCGTCACTGAATTCGTCGCGGGGGTTGAAGGGGGGCGGCTGTAAGCGGCCCCCCGGCACGCCGGTTAATTTAAATCAGTATTTACGTTGTTGTTGTTGTTGTTACTGTCCCTTGTTTGTTTGCTTCCCGTTCGTTCGTTCGCCTCCGATGAACAAATGCCGCCCAAAGCGAAGAGTGGCGTTGCAGCGGCACCGCCGTGCTGGATTTTTATATTCCCAAAGCGCCAGGCTGCGGCCAGGCCGAGTAGGCCCGCTTCAACCTCCCGGAGTGGCAGGCGCCTCCACCCACCCACCCAGCCTGCTTCGGATGGGGCAGGTGTGGTGGGTGCGGCCAACCCACAACTTTCCAAGGACTTGGTTCGACTCGAGGCCCGATACTTGGCCCGCGTGGAAGAGTAGGCCAAGCGCCGTCTAGTGGGGGGTGGTGGTGGTGGTGGTGGTGGGGGGGGGGGTCACTGTAGAACTCCTCGTAGCGAGATGACGCTCTTCCTTCCGCCAGCGTTAGAGCGGAGCAAGTTGCAGGGGCTGCACCACTACCTGAGTGAGAGGGAGAGATTGTGAGAGAGGAGTGAGTGTGAGAGAGGAGTGAGTGTGAGAGAGAGGGAGAGAGGAGTGAGAGATGAGTGAGAGCGAGAGAGGAGTGAGTGTGAGAGGAGTGAGTGTGTGAGAGAGCGAGAGAGGAGTGAGTGTGAGAGTGAGAGAGGAGTGAGTATGAGAGGGAGCGAGAGAGGAGTGAGTGTGAGAGAGGAGTGAGTGAGAGAGAGAGCGAGAGTGCGAGTGAGAGATGAGTGAGAGGGAGGGAGAGAGGAGTGAGTGTGAGAGAGGAGCGAGAGTGGAGCGAGAGAGAAGCGAGAGAGGAGCGAGAGAGGAGCGAGAGAGGAGCGAGAGAGGAGCGAGAGAGGAGCGAGAGAGGGGAGTTGGAGGGAGCGAGAGAACGAGGTGGCGAAGGTTTCGATCGCGGACCAAGAGCGGCGCGCTCCGTGTGCCGAGGAGCGGTGGACCGCTGGCTCAGCGCGCCCTCTCCGTTACACCAATCTCTCTCTCTCTTACACACTCTCTCTTACACTCTCTTACACACTCTCTTACACACAATCTCTCTCTTACACTCTCTCTTACACTCTCTCACTCTTTTACACTCTCTCACTCTCTTACACTCTCTTACACTCTCACTCTCTCTCTTACACTCTCTCTTACACTCTCTCACTCTCACTCACTCTCTTACACTCTCTCACTCTCACTCTCTTACACTCTCTCACTCTCTCTTACACTCTCTCACTGTCTCACTCTCTCTTACACTCTCTCTTACACCCTCTCACTCTCTCTTACACTCTCTCTCATTCACTCTCTTACACTCTCTCACTCTCTCTCTCTCACACTCTCACTCACTCTCTTACACTCTCTCACACTCTCTCTCACTCACGTTCTCTCTCTTACACTCTCACTCACTCTCTTACACTCTCTCTCTCTCTTACACTCTCTCTCTCTCTCTCTTACACACTCTCTCTTACACTCTCTCTATCACTCTCACTCCCTTACACTCTCTCTCTCTTACACTCTCTCTCTCTCTTACACACTCTCTCTTACACTCTCTCTATCACTCTCACTCTCTTACACTCTCTCTCTTACACTCTCTCTATCACTCTCACTCTCTTACACTCTCTCTTACACTCTCTCTTACACTCGCACACTCTCTCTTACACTTTCTCTTACACTCTCTCTTACACTCTCTCTTACACTCTCTCTTACACTCTCTCACACTCTCTCTCTCTCACGTCCTCCGGTGCGGGATCGACACTGGCTCGCCTCTGCCACCGCGGCATTGCCCGCGACACGGTGGGCGGGGGTGGGCGGGCTGCATCGCCACGCTTTTTTTGATCCACGTGGTGGTTAACGTGACACTTTGTACTGTGGGCACGCGCACGCGCGTAAATGGAATAAAATGAAATAAAATGAACATTGTGAACTGTGGTGTTGCTGGTAGCCTGTGCGTATGTGTGGTGTGGGGAACAGTGGCGTAGCGGGAATTGACCGGAGTTCGATTCCTGCTCACGGCCAACACCACCAGTGACGATTATCCAAACCGGTCCTGGGCCTCCCCTCGGCCGACTCAGCCTCAAACGAGTACCTGGTGCGGTGCGTTAAAACATCGCCACTGGGGAGACAAAGGCGGCCGGGCGTGGTGCTGGCCACGCGGAGAAGCCGTCGTAGGCTGGAAGGGCGGCTCACGGAGAAGCGGATATCGCAGAACTAGCTCCGACTGAGATCCCTGCTTCTTCGCGTGAGAGTTGAATGGTCGCGAGCAACTTTCCCACATCGCTCTGTCGATGCGAAAGCAACGTCCGTCGCGTGAACGGTCAAACCGGTGTTTTTGTTATCGTCAGATTTTGAAATTGTTTCCACATTAAAGTGTAAAACCAAATTCAATGCCACGGAGTTTTTTGTGTGGTCATTGTGCGACCGGGCTGAGACCATCAACCCCATACACTTGAGTCGGTGGGTCTCTGTGGGGGTCTACAGGTCTCTATGTGAGTTGGTGGGTCTCTGTGGGAGTCTACAGGTCTCTATGTGAGTTGGTGGGACTCTGTGGGAGTATACAGGCCTCTATGTGAGTCTACAGGTCTCTGTGAGTCTACAGGTCTCTATGTGAGTCGGTGGGTCTCTGTGGGAGTCTACAGGCCTCTATGTGAGTCTATGGGTCTCTATGTGAGTATGGGTCTCTGTGTGAGTCTATGGATCTCTGTGTGAGTCTGTGGGTCTCTGTGTGAGTCTGTGGGTCTCTGTGTGAGTCTATGGGTCTCTGCGTGAGTCTATGGGTCTCTATGTGAGTCTACAGGTCTCTATGTGAGTAGTGGGTCTCTATGTGAGTCAGTGGGGCTCTCTGTGAGTCTATAGGTCTCTATGTGAGTCTACAGGTCGCTTTGTGAGTCGGTGGGTCTCTATGTGAGTCTACAGGTCTCTATGTGAGTCGATGGGTCTCTATGTGAGTCTACAGATCTCTATGTGAGTCTATAGGTCTCTATGTGAGCCTACAGGTCTCTATGTGAGTCTATAGGTCTCTATGTGAGTCAGTGGGTCTCTATGCGAGTCTACAGGTCTCTATGTGAGTCTACAGGTCTCTATGTGAGTAGTGGGTCTCTATGTGAGTCAGTGGGACTCTCTGTGAGTCTATAGGTCTCTATGTGAGTCTACAGGTCTCTATGTGAGTCGGTGGGTCTCTATGTGAGTCTACAGGTCTCTATGTGAGTCGGTGGGTCTTTATGTGAGCTTACAGGCCTCTATGTGAGTCTACAGGTCTCTATGTGAGTCGGTGGGTCTCTATGCGAGTCTATAGGTCTCTATGTGAGTCGGTGGGTCTCTATGTGAGTCTACAGGTCTCCGTGAGTCTATAGGTCTTTTTGTGAGTCTATAGGTCTCTATGTGAGTCAGTAGGTCTCTATGCGAGTCTACTGGTCTCTATGTGTGTCTACAGGTCTCTGTGAGTAGTGGGTCTCTATGTGAGTCAGTGGGTCTCCCTGTGAGTCTATAGGTCGCTATGTGAGTCTACAGGTCTCTATGTGAGTCAGTGGGTCTCTATGTGAGTCTGTAGGTCTCTATGTGAGTCTGTGGGTCTCTATGTGAGTCTACAGGTCTCTATGTGAGTCTACAGGTCTCTATGTGAGTCTACAGGTCTCTATGTGAGTCGGTGGGTCTCTCTGTGAGTCTACAGGTCTCTATGTGAGTCTACAGGTCTCTATGTGAGTCTATAGGTCTCTATGTGAGTCTGTAGGTCTCTATGTGAGTCTATAGGTCTCTATGTGAGTCTGTAGGTCTCTATGTGAGTCTATAGGTCTCTATGCGAGTCTACAGGTCTCTATGTGTGTCTACATGTCTCTATGTGAGTAGTGGGTCTCTATGTGAGTCAGTGGGTCTCCCTGTGAGTCTATAGGTCGCTATGTGAGTCTACAGGTCTCTATGTGAGTCAGTGGGTCTCTATGCGAGTCTACAGGTCTCTATGTGAGTCAGTGGGTCTCTCTGTGAGTCTACAGGTCTCTATGTGAGTCAGTGTGTCTCTATGTGAGTATATAGGTCTCTATGTGAGTCTACAGGTCTCTATGTGAGTCAGTGGGTCTCTGTGTGAGTCTATAGGTCTCTATGTGAG